TCCCGCAGGATTTTGTTCACTATTGCAAAAGCGGAAACGTGAAAACGGGAACTTCCGCAAGATCTTTACGCTAGACTGGTGAAAAACGGGAACTTTCGTAGAGCTTAATGCAAAGCGCTGCGAACTTCCGAAAAATGTCAGCGGTTACGCAGCACCTTGACATGCCAGTACTTCCGCAGGGTCTCGAATGTGTTGTCTAATATGATGTTGCCTGTCTAACAACTAGAGTGCATTATCGAACATGTCAGTCTTAAAGGCAGTACATCGGCAGAATGAGACCCGTGACAAAACAACGTCACAGGGTAGGAGCCCCCATATGGAACCTATCGGCCAAAGTCCGATCTTTCTCTGCCACTCCTAACCCCCGGAATTTCAAAGCGAAAGCAGCGCTCATCTCCTGTCCTCTCTGAACCCGCCCACCCCATGGACGAGTGAACGCGAAGCCCGTCATGGCGAAGACGCAGAGTCGTTGCGGGACCTCATGCTTATAGCATTGCGGCTGGCGCTCTAACCGCGGAAATCACTCGTCCATGAGGTGGGCGGGTTCGGAGAGGACAGGAGATGAGCGCTGCTTTCGCTTTGAAATTTCGGGGATTAGAAGTGGCAGAGAAAAATCGGACTTTGGCCGATAGGTTCCATATGGGGGCTCCTACCCTGTGACCTTGTTTTGTCACGGGTTTCATTCTGCCGATGTACTGCCTTCAATGGAGAGGGTAGTAGGTGAGTTTCACAGTCATTAGAGTAAGGTTCAAATCTCAGGTGTTCTCTTTTGCTGTTGTGGTCCGCATTCTTCGGAACTTCCGCAGCAGCTCATTCAGGAACTTCCGCGGGTGAACCGGCACAACTTTCCTAAACGTTCTGCGGAAGTTCCGGTCAGTTGTCTGAATTCGGAGCACGTGGTACATAAATGTTATGGTCTATTTTCTGTAGAAAATTGTGATTTCCAAAAAAAACCGCAAAAAATTAAATTTCTGTTCTGTGTTGCTTGCGGAAAAAACATAACTCTTCACAGAAACGATTAGTCAGGACTTTGCTCAAGTAGATAGGTTGGATTATAAGACTCATATTGCTGCGTGCACCAAATTATATCATGGATCTCCTTTAAATTTCTGGAGACCTGAATCCAAATGATCGAGGTTGCTGTGATCTTCTTCTTCTGCTTCAATCTCAAAAACTCACTTTAATTTGTGAGCAGCAAAACCGTAGGTACAAAGAACATGCTTTGCTCTACCTAGTAAAATAAGCTTGTGAAAATGCGATGGTATATCAAGAAGTTATGGTTTTCAAAAATGGTGCGACAGAACTTTCGCACACCCAAATACATTCGCAAGTTCTCGACGTTTCCTATCTTTGCTCAGAGAAAATGCTTTCGATTTCTGCGACCAATCTGCCGAGATATCGGCTAAATGCATCTATTTGCGCAAATGTGGAAAAATCAAGATTACAACGGTTCTGATGGCAAACTTTAGACGGCTGGCTGGTGACTTTAGAACTCTCAATGATCTACGCTTTGATTCAACTGGATTGGGGCACGAACGGTGGCTTTGTGACCTAGTTAAGGCTAATGAATGATGAGAGAGCACGAGCGCGAGAGACGCCGACTGCGTCGCGGGTGCGAGCGACTTTGATTAGGTCACAAAGCCCCGCCTTCCAGCCGCCAATCCAGTTGAGCAAAAGCTTAGCTGATCTTTGTAATTGATTTTCGTTCTTTTTAACCATTGGACGGAAATTAGACAAAATTACGACCGAGAAGATCGTCAAATACAGGGTGTCCCAAAATAATGTGCACTCTATTTGATTTTGAATAACTCTCTTATTATGAGGTCTTTCGAGAAGCGGTAAGCGCCATTTTGTAGAGCTGGCTTCAACTTAGATTTACAGTATAAAGCGAATCACCGACCGCTCTTCATTACTGTAGGATTACGGTACATTGCGGAAAAGCTGCCGTTTCAAAAATTTTCAAAAAAATGTGAAAACTTGTGTAACAGGGTTTTTTGGACGCTGAGTTCAATACTCAACTCACTATTCTCAAGGTTGCGAAGCTTTCTAAACGGTGTAACCGCACTTTTTAGGAACATTGAGAAAATGGCCGCTACTGCTTACCTCGCATAAATATTCAGTGAAGCATCATAATAAGTTGGAAACTTTATAGGTAGAATCAGCGACTTTAATTAGCCTAGTGTAAAAGTTTTTAGGCTGCTTTGTTTTCCTGCTGAGGCAAAATATGGCCTTTCATGGCTCAAAACCCTCTTTCAAGTTTCTACCGTAATCCGCAGTAATGAAGAGCGGTCGCTGATTTGCTCTATACAGCAAATCTAAGCTGAAGCAAGCTCTACAAAATGGCGCTTACCGCTTCTCAAAAGACCTCTTAATAAGAGAGTTATTCAAAATCATATAGTGTGCACATTATTTTGGGACACCCTGTATGATCGAAATAAAAGAAAATCAAACTAACTTCAACCATTTCTTTCTTCCTTTCTGAAGGAGAAGACCTTAAACATAAGTAATTGAACCATTTAGAACACTCAATAATCCAGCTGATCCTTGTAAGACCTTGAAATAAATACAAAAAGTGGTATTTTATTGGAGTATTAGTCGCTCTCATGTTCAGTCTGTGACAATTCTGTCAATCATTCAATCTTAATCTGATGATTTCTTTTTCGAATGACGCGGTTAAACTGCGATTCTCATTCTCATGCAATTTTCACGTGCAAACCAACTGAATACTGAGTCGCATTTGATTAGTATCAGGAACTTCTTTTTTTTATCAGGAACTTTTTCTTTTTTTTTCTAAGGTTCGAGTCGACGTTAATTTTCGCAAGGAAGTAAAAAAAAGGATTCATAAAATTGATGTATTGCTCTTTATTCCTTGTTATCAAGTTTGAGACTAAAACTCTGCAAAAAAAAAAACACCCGCATATTTGCAGAGATTTCCGTTGTATTATTTTTATCTTTGTACATCCGACATCATTTATTTCGTCAAGTGAGTTCCGCAAAGCCAGCTACGAACTATCAAGTAGACTTAGTCACTTTTTCCTTGAAATTCCTTTTTTTTCGAAATTTATGATCTTCAAGATTTAAAGTGTTTTCGGAAGAATTCCTAATGATGATCTTCCGCAGAATTCTTTCTTGTCACTGATTTTTGGATAGAAGAAGAGATTTTTCGCAATTGGAACTTGCAAACCTCAGCTTTTTGCACTTGCTTATAGATTGTCGTCTCAGGAGAGTGTGATTTCCCTCGTTCTACTGCACTATCGCACACAACGAATCTGAAAAAGTAAAATTTGGGTAAACTTCAGCTAGTTTTTGTGGAAATTTGGAGGATTTCAAATTTGTTCGGACAAAAATGAAGATGCGCAGCCTTTTCTTCTTCATAGTAAACCCCTCCAACTCGATTATTTTAACGATAAGAAAAGTTATACAAAGATATACGAAAACCTTTTTGAGTGACTTGGTATTAGGTGAGAATGTGAAAATTGGCAGTGAACAGCGATATCGAAAGTTGAATGACTTCATCCAAGCTTATTGAATTGTATCATTCTTATCTGAAAAAAGTGGGAACTTTGTCAAATTGTTCAGCAGGAGACGGCAGTGAAGGTACATGGATTCAAGTTCGAAGGCAATTTTTGTCGGAAAAGGACTTCTTACATGTGACTTCCCCAACACGATCTGTAAATATTAGGTTGGTCCGAAAGTTGTGCCCCGCCATTTTCAAAAACTCATAACTTCCTTCTTTCATGATGTTTCTGCATGTCTAAAACCTTGTTGAAAAGAGCAATTCATGCACTTTCTAAAACACTCTTGAGTGCTATCTAAATTGGAAAAAGGAAATTACTTCAAGTTCGGAATTTTTAAGCAGGCCCGTTAAAAAATCCAAAACCGTGCCATAAAATCCAAAACAACCATTATCCTAGGTTTTCTGATCTCCTCTTTCTATATGAGCAAAACTCGCGCTAATCGAGCTCTTCTTAGAAACGTTATGATTTTCGAGAAAAATACCAAAAAATCAGTTCCTTAAGAAAATTGATTTTCTTGACATTTTTTTCAAAAAATCATAACTTTTAAATTAACAGCTCGATCAGCGCGAATTTTGCTCAACTGGAATGAGGGGGTCAAAAAGTCTAGGATAGTGGCTGTTTTGGATTTTATGGCACAGTTTTGGATTTTTTAACGGGCTTGCTTAAAAATTCGGAAATTGAAGTGATTTCCCTTAGTAGAAGCAGCCAAGGTAGCTCTAGAAAGCGCATGAATTGCTCTTTCCAAAAAGGTTTTACCCATGCAGAAACATCATGTTAGGAGGAAGTTATGATTTTTTGAGAATGGTGGGACAGAACTTTTGGACGAACCTAATATTATACGCTTACCCAGATGCAAAAATTGCACACATTGTAAACAAGCTTAATCGTGTACTTAGCCGGTTTATACTTGTCATTTGTCTCGTTTAGGCTCATTCATTCTTTTGAAACAGGGAAGAACAACTCAAACATGTAAAGACAATGTCCGCAAGTCGGTTTCTTCAACAAATAAATGAGCACGATATCGAAATATCACGGTCGAATCCGACACAGATGTGAACAACAAACACTGTTGCAAAGTAAAATATTTACTTGCAAACTGATTTCTTTTCAAAAATGATGAAACACAAAGGCACAAATGAAAGAAATTAAGGCACTATGAGATGACAAGATAATAAAAGGAAAACAAGACGAGTGACCACTCTTAGTCAATGCAGGATATCACACTACCTAGCTCATGGCAGCCATAGCGTAGCGCAACTGTATGAGGTCAACCCCGCCCCCTCTCACTGCCTCATCCTTACTCTCTCGCAGCGTGTATCCTAGGGGCACGCTAGGATGCCTTAGCCAGGCTAGCTGCTTATCGATTCGATAAACAGCCAAAACAAAGAAACTTGTGAACTATATGATATATCAAACATAGAAAAAACGAACTAGTACTACACTACAAGGGGGTCCCCTGCAAAGAGCGCTTCCACTGCGCGACTAGTTTAGCCGTCCTCTGCAAGAATTTCTAAAGGGCTCCCTTCTTTGAAAACGAGGTTTTGGCGTCGTTCTGCTCTGTGACGTAGATCTGTTCTCCCGTCGATGAGAATTCCGTTGATACGACGAAGATCTGTTCTCCAGCTGATTAAAATTCCGTTGTTGCGACCGAGAGTTGTGACGTGCTCCTCGTCCTCGCATATAGGTGCTACTTCGGGGCTCCCTCTGCACTGCTGCGCTTCTGCAGCTATTCTCAGGCTCACGTATCCTTTTGAAGTCCGGCAGTTTCAAAAATGCGCTGTATTGGGTTTTTGTGGCGTTCCAAAACCTTTTCGCTGCGCTCTGAGTGAAGTGTCTTCCCGTAACAAGGTTGATTTTGTCGGCCAAAATTTTGTAGGCGGCTCCCAGCATCGCGTTTTCCGAGCGCTTCGGCAGCAAACATCGCATTTTTGGGGCAAGGCTCGGGCGCTGTGCGCAGGTTTCCTCCATTAAGTCACGAAGAAGATCCACGGTGGCTCCCCACCCTTCGTCATCTTGAGGACCCGGAAGTGCAATCAACTCCGCACCTTGGGCGACTGCGTATAGGAATAGCGTCCATGCGCTTCTCCAGCGCAAGATATCCGAACTCGAGGCAGGTGAAAATAGTATTATTGCCGATAATTCCTCCGCAAACCATTCCGGCTCGACTTCATCCGGGGAGCGTATGACGTGTACTGCTACAAAATCGGCTTCAAGGCATCGTAGGACCTCGTCAAATCCTTCCGGCAGCAGAATGAGCGTCTCCCGCGGCTTCAGCTGGCACCACCGACTTTCCATCCAGGGGTTGCAGTTTGCGAACTCTACGGCTTTTCCGTAGAGATAAGACAAGTTGTACGGGTCATCACGCGTTCGAGGAGGGCAGTCCTGTGCTGGCTTCTTGGCGTCGACTACTGAGGCTAGGGTCGCATGAAGGCAATGACTACGAAAATATGACAATGAAATTCCTAGAGAATGGGGGGTCAGAATATCGTATGAGACATCCAATAAACGGGCAACACGCCAATTATCGGGAATATGAGATTGAGTTATCACAGAAATGTTCCGGGCGAGATCGTACGGCGTTCCTATGCTGATGCAGCTGAGAGGCGAATTCGGGATGACGTCCGGCACTCTTTCCTCGATTGAACATTCCAAAACGGTGTTTCCATGGGCTAGTTTTCCGGGACATTTCCATGTGACGTGTCTGGCATTCGTTGCAGATGATAAGGGCTTCCTGAAAAGAAATTTTATTAATCTAATGCTGCTCACAACCCCATCAATCTTCCCCTGTCCAGCTTTCTTGGGTCGTCCCCGTTTTCTACTAGTTTTCATGGGTAAATCGGGCGTTTTCGCAGTTTTCTTGGGTCTTCCCCGTTTCCTGCGCCCGGTTATCCCTACCACCGGAGTATCGTCGATTTCCGACGGTACTTTGACCAAATGGTCAAACTGTACTCGCCGGGGTTCCTCGTTCTCGCCAATCTGAGTGATCAGCGCCGAGTTGTCGCTGGCTTCAATCACCCGAAACGGTCCTGCCCAGTCCGTTACTAGTTTAGGGTGCTCAGACTGCCCTTTTTCAGCTGGCAGTTTCATATAAACGCGGTCTCCCGCTGCAAATTTTACTGACTTTGCTGTTTCCAGCTTCCGATCGTAATACTTTTTCATATTTTCGCGGTACTCCCGTGCATTTTCTACAATGCATTCGCGGGCGAGTTTTAACCCCGACAAGAGCTCCGTTTTGTAATTATCGTAGTCTACGATGTACGGAGATAGGTGTTCTGGTGGAATTACCGCGGACGGATACTTAGGGTCACTTCCGTACAGCAGAAAATGCGGGCTTTCCCCCGTTGCTCTGTGAGGTGACGCGTTGTAGGCGTAAACTACCGTGGGGAGCACTTTGTCCCATTCACTTGGTGTTACCGTCTTCTTCTTGAGCATTCTAACGATAGTTCCGTTTACCCTCTCCGTCACTCCATTTTCTCTCGGGCAGTATCCTTTGGTAAAACTTTGGGAAATCCCCATATAATCGCAGAGAACCGTCATTATACTGTTCTCAAATTCGCCACCGCGGTCTGAAAACACTGTTTCCGGCCAGCGTCCTGTCGCGCAAATCCAGTTGCTGAATAGGGCTTCAGCAACAGTTTCCGCCTTTTTGTCGGGTACCGGATACGCTCCAAGATACTTGGTGAAATGGTCTATGATAGTGACTATATACCGGTTTCCGCGGCTAGTCAAACCCATCTCTAAAATGTCGATCCCCACTATTTGAAAAGGTCTGGATACTTCAAAGGGTCGCAACGGTGGGACATTATCCTTTTTCCAGTTGGTCAGAAAGCATTTCTGGCAAGATCGGTACCACCGAAACAGGTCTGCTCGCATTCCAGGCCAAAATACCCTTTTCTTGAGCTGAAGGAACAATTTTCGCGGGTGAAAATGTCCTCCAAGGGCTCCTGCGTGGGCTTCGTCAAACAGGCTTTGGCGGCGTGATCGCGGCACTACCGGGACCAAAGACCCATCTTCCTTTATCAGGTGTAATTTTCCGTTCTCAATGGTAAAATCCACAGAACTAAGGGTTTTCTCGTGTCTTGGGAGTTTCACCTCCTCTTCGCGCTCGCTCTCTACTGCAGAAATCAAGGCTGCAAAATCGGGATCTTGGCGCAATTCCGACAACCATTCGTGCTCCTGAACTGCACAAACTACTTTTTCACCTTCGGCGTACCCGTATTTAGCAAATACGTGTTCAGGGAGTCCCCTAGATAATGCGTCAGCAACGCAGTTAGCTGCTCCCTTCAGGTGTTCGATGGTCAGATCATAGCGCTGAACTTCCAGCGCCCATCTCAGCACCCTGGGAGACACATTGGTACGTTTAAAGAGCGATACAAGCGCTGCATGGTCCGTTTTTATTATGGTTTTGACCCCATAGATAAAATAATGGAACTTCTTTAACGCATAAACTACTGCCAGCGCTTCTTGATCAGTGACGTGATAATTCCTCTCCGCTTGCGTTAACGGCTTGGAAGCAAAAAATACGGGATGGAGCAATCCATCTTCGCCTTCCTGTGTCAAAACGGCGCCCAAACCTATACGACTTGCGTCGGTATAGATTATGAAAGGACGGCTTCCGTCTCTTGCTCTTTCGATATTTGGCTGCGCCAAAACCGGGGCTTCTGTTAAAACCTCCTTCAGTTTGCTAAAAGCTCTCTCATGCGCCGCCGTCCAACAGAAAGCATTCTTAGGACTGGTAAGCTCATAGAGAGGCTTCGAGATCTGCGCAAAATGTAACACAAATTTGCGATAGTATCCTGCCATACCCAGGAATGTCCGTAGTTGCGCTATGTTGGTTGGGCGCTCAAAATTTTGAATTCGCACCACTTTATCCGGGTCGGTTTTGACACCATCCTTATCCACTACATGCCCCAAAAATTCGATGCTAGGTTCCATAATCCGGCATTTTTGTGGCTTCATCTTAAGCTGAGCTTGTCTCAAAGCTTGGCACACTTTCCTCAGCACTTCGGCGTGGCGCTCTACGCTTTCGGTGGCGATTAGAATATCATCGATATACACCGAGACCTCGCGCCCTTTAACATCGCCCAATACTTGATCCATTAAGCGCTGGAATTTCGCAGGGGCGGTTGTGAGTCCAAAGGGTAGCACCCTAAACTGGAATTGGCCCGCGGTAGTGGTAAAAGCACTAATCTCTTTGGCGCGCTCTGTCAGCGGTACTTGCCAATACCCACTCGCTAGATCCAATGATGTGAACCAGCACATCCCCTGCAGATTTTGCAAGGTAACATCTATAGGTGGGAGTGGGTAACTATCCTTTTTCGTTACTTTGTTCACTTCCCTATAGTCCACGCAAAGACGGATAGTTCCATCCTTCTTTGCCACTAAGACTATTGGCGATGCCCATGGTGACTCACTATTCTCTATCACTCCCCTTTCCTTAAGCTCATCAAGCATTGTCTCAACCTCCGCACGAAGTCCATACGGTACCGGTCGAGTCTTCTGCCTGATGGGCGGATGGTCTCCCACTTCAATGTCATGTTCAACCAGATGGGTTTGAGTGAGCTCCAAATCAGAAATAGCAAAAACGTCATGATAGTCTTCCACTACCTTCCTAATCTCTATAGGCATAGGACCTGCTCTTCTATTGGCGTCAAGTAAACCAACCAGGTTACCTATCCTTTCCGCATTTTCTACCAATGTAGGCTGCTTCAATACTAGCATATCGCCAGGTAATTCACTTATCCTAGGATCTATCCATGAATCATGGGACCATGTACCTAACTGTTCCCCTTTTTGGATAACCCAAGGTTCACTTTCTCTATTCAACACTGATATTTCGGATTTGCTCTGCTCGACTGCGCACACACCCGATTCTATGCGGTCATGACGTGACCAGAACAGGCAGGGACCTGATTGAGATGATCCCTCGATCTGTACCGTGGCCACGCATCCCGGAGGTATAACTACTCTTGCTACAGCATGAACCTGTTGGCAATCGGTGCTTCCTTTATTCGGTAATGTTGGAAAAGTCAGCGCAATACCAAGCTCCGATAAGGCATTAGTCCCCAAAAGTAGCGTTGTATCTTCGGTTTTCTGGACATGTAAATGCACAGGAATGCTTCCATTCCCGTGTACACTAACCTTAGCTACTAGCTCCCCGAGAAAGCTCATGAGGTTTCCTGAAGCATCAACAAGTTTGCGCTGTTTAGAGTCAACGACCCTCCTAGCCTGTGTGTTGAAATCCACCCCTTGCTGACGGGCCAGTTTCAAAAACCCCACAGGAACTATCGAAACTACCGAACCGGTATCTATCAAAGCCTTTGTGTTTATGCCAAACACTTCTACCTCGCAGAGACATGGTTCTCCTATAGCCTTGGGGCTCGCATCTACCTTGGCATGATTGGCTTGGACGGTCTTGCACCATCCCTCAACATCGTCGGCCAGGGTGATCCCCCCTACAGCACTGCTATGAGATTGAATGCACCTCATACCCCTTCCCTGTGGAAATCGATTAGCTGTGCTTTGATTCCTCTTATCACATCTTGAAGAGATGTGGCCAACTTCGCCACAAGTAAAACATTTTACAGGGGCCTTATTAGTTGCACCACTAACAAGGGGTTTACTAGGACCCGCTGGGTATCTGGCTTCAACTTGCGGCTTCACATAGGCATTTACCCTCTTTGCCCGAACATTCGAGTCACTAGGGTGCCTCACCGCTCCATCTTGAAGCTTCTCCAGCCTCCTTGCTACCTTCTTGACTGCTTCGTAGACTTGCCCTTCAGGCGAGTCTAAAGCAGCAAGCATGTGGTAGGAGTCCTGCCAACTCTCCAAGCATGAATACAGCTTGGAGCCGCGAATGAAATCCTATTCGCAACTAGGATGGATTCTCCTAGAGAGATCCTCCATCCTGCAGCAGAAATCCACCACGGTTTCCCCATTCCGTTTTGAGAGTTGTTCCCACTCTCTTATATTCTTTAAACGGTCGCAGGGGTTTCTTCGCGCTTGCTTTAGGGCTTCTACTACACCCTTAAAGCTCCCTTCCCGCACGCTTTGTGGCAGACTTTTAAACACTGCCTTAGCCGTGCCCTCCAGGTGGTTAACCAGGATATCCCTCCTATCCCGGTCCTGCCACACGCTTGCTGGGAATTTCACTTCCAGCGCCCGGAGGAAATCACTCAGGGAATTTTTACCCGTGTATCGTGGCACGCTGGCCACGCTTTGTGCTTTAAAAACTTCTTTAAACATAGTAAACATGTCCCTAACCGGGTTCCCAGCACCTATCCCATCCCTAGATCCCATATCAATAATCGATAGGGACTCACTGATCGTTGATCCTTGGGAGGACATGGCCGACGATGGTCGCGACGACTTGGGTGAGGCTCGGGGTGGGTCGCAGTGTGGCCCAGCGGTCGCTTCTCGACGTACGCGGGATCCCTGAACACGATTGTTGACACTTTGTAATGTTCGGTAATTTTCCCGAACAGAATGTGAAAGTTCACACTCACCCTCGACTAGGCTTGCCGAAGCTGTGGCTTGTGAATCCTGAGAGGGGCCGGAGAGTTCCTTTACACGTTCCTGTAATACTAATATTTGCGTCTGCAAATCTTCCTCTCTCCTTGCACTGTTCAAAGCCTCTAGCCTAATCTTAGATTGTGAGGCGGCCAATCTGTTTTCCAGATCGGCTATAGTTGCGGCCTTATCCTCAACTACGGCCTCTACCTCATCTATCTCACACCCCAACCTAGCCCCTAACCTCACTACCATTTGGCTGTGGGAACTGGCCATGGGTATGTACTCAAGCAATTCCTCGACGCTCATTTGGAATTTATCACAAAGAGCGGAGTGCGAGCTACCTGCATGGTCAAGTTCCCCTCCGAGGCTAACTTGCAACCTCTCGCGCAACGAAATCAATATCTGATCTCGCTTTACGCGCGAGAGGTGCCTAATTTGGCTGTTCAACACATCCCCCATAAAAGTCAAAATATCACCAAATTGACTATCACTCACTTCAAGTGAATTCCAATTGCTCAGCGCCTCTTGGCTGGCGGGGGTATGTGGTGGTGGCGTGGCGTGTCCGCTTGCCGATTGCTCCATCAAAGAATCCATTCCGGAATTCTGCAACAACAAAAAAAATCAGTTGTGTGAGTTGTTCACCGGCTCGGCCCCCAAGTCGGTTTCTTCAACAAATAAATGAGCACGATATCGAAATATCACGGTCGAATCCGACACAGATGTGAACAACAAACACTGTTGCAAAGTAAAATATTTACTTGCAAACTGATTTCTTTTCAAAAATGATGAAACACAAAGGCACAAATGAAAGAAATTAAGGCACTATGAGATGACAAGATAATAAAAGGAAAACAAGACGAGTGACCACTCTTGGTCAATGCAGGATATCACACTACCTAGCTCATGGCAGCCATAGCGTAGCGCAACTGTATGAGGTCAACCCCGCCCCCTCTCACTGCCTCATCCTTACTCTCTCGCAGCGTGTATCCTAGGGGCACGCTAGGATGCCTTAGCCAGGCTAGCTGCTTATCGATTCGATAAACAGCCAAAACAAAGAAACTTGTGAACTATATGATATATCAAACATAGAAAAAACGAACTAGTACTACACTACACGCAACGCGGTCGTTCGTCTCCTAGTCATACAATAGACGATATCAATATATCACATTATGAGGCACCTTATTGAAATCTATGCTCATCACATCCTTGAAAATATTGCGACAAGCAAAGCTCATTCATTCTCTCAGTAAGATACGCAAGCACGCTTTGCGTACGTTTTGACAAGTTCATGAATGCGTTCGAACGCATTGCTATTGATTACTATAAGGTATTCAAAAAAGACATGTTTGAACTCCTAATGTTTAACGTGCTCAAACCTATTCTACCACGAATTTATTAGTATGTTATCCAAAACGCGTTAGAACGCATTCATAAACTTGTTAATCAAACATATGCGAAGCGTGCTCGTCTCTCTTATTGTTAGTCAGAAAACGAATAATATGTCTCATTGGGTCACATCGAACTTAAACCGGCTGGAGATCTGAGGACCATATCATCAGAACATTATATACCAGCCACTCTCTGCCGCTACGCGGCAGGTTCGGCTGATACACAGCAGCTCCGCTGCCTCGTAAACTTTTCGTTTAATTTTTACTTTTTAATTTGATGCGGAAATGTGAAAATTTGCAGACAATTTGCCATCTTGCACGAATTAGAGTTCTAACCTGCGCAGAAAGAAAAACTGAGGACATATTTTCGGCTTTGTCACTTTATTTTGACTCAACATTCTAAGCAGCGTATACTACGGAAACTGCAAAAAATTAACGAATCGATAGAGGCAATCGGTAGGTTTCAAACAAAATGGCTTATTAAAACCCGCCCCACCCCATACACTATGTCTGCCAAACCTGGCTTAGATTCGATGACCTTCTATCTTTTTTGTGACATAGAATATTTTCTAGGCAAAACTCCAAGTAATCAATAGATCGATAGGGGCAATCCGTGTGTCTAGAACAAAATGGCTTGTTAACACATGCTCCACCCTATACATTATGTATGCCAAATTTGGGTCAGACATTACTACTCCTTCTGTCCTAATCGGGCGAACATACAAAATTTTCTAAGCAAAAACTAGAAAAAATCAATAAGTCGATAGAGGCAACTAGCGGGAGGGGGGGGGGGGGGGGGAAGAGGTAGAGCTTGCTCATTACAAAATTAGCAACCAACAATATAGCTATGATTTTATCAATTCGATCGTGTTTTTTTTTGCCGACTTTCAAAGGCAGGGTCTAACCAATGGTTGTTGAGATTTTTGAGATTTTTCATTTTGCTTTAGGGTTTTTAGACTCTGTCTAACCCGATGCCAGTCCCAAATCTCATGAAATGTACGAAAACCCCGTTCTTTGAAAGCCACCTGGAAGTTGTGCCTTCTCAACCTAGTTCCCGCCCCGTGGCAGCAACAAAATGGAACGTTTTGGTGAGACACACACTGCCTATAAGACACCGTCCGCCAAACTTGAGATGAGATTTTTCCATAGTATAATTGCGGAATTTGAATGATTACTTGCCCTTGTCTGGTTGCAAGAGTTGTTTTCCAAAACGAGAAAATCGCCTCAGAAACTGGATGTGGTTGGGGTCGCCAAACCTCTCAGCTTTGGTGTAAATGACGCGGAACTAAACTCAGTAGTAAAGAGAAATGCCGAAAATCCGCCTTTCACTGCGAAAAAACATTCTCGACATTTGGATATGCTGAGGTCCACTTGCGGGCTCGTCACTGTTGAACCACCCACATTAATGGGCGTGGCGACCTCAGCGGCATCCAGCTTTTGGAGCGATTTTCTCGCTTCGGAATTCACATTTTGCAGCAGGACTTGGACAGTTACTTGGCTCAGCTAGGGGCTTTGCTATTGTGCACTGCATCCCCACCGATTTCATATTTAGATGGACAGTGTCTACAGTGTCTTCAAGCTGGGCTAAGTATTTCTACGTAACTGTCTCAGCAACAGTGCCACAGCTACAGTGCTCAGACAATCGCCGGGGGCAGGCGGTCCGCAAACTCGCGTTTTCCTGCAGGCGCTCAGCAGAATTTTGGGGCGTGGCCAAACCTTCAGCGGGCGGCACTTCCTTTACTGTCTAATGTTCTGCCAGCGGGCAGCAACACAGAATTTTCTGCAGGCGTTCGTCAAATAATCTCTTTCAGCGAGCGCTGGTCAAATTTTCAGCTGGCGCTCGGACGGTTTTTAAGCAGTTTCGGGTGTACGCCGAGCAAAGGTGAGACTCTACATGGCAGAGGAGTCATCGATGGTTTAATTACTCAAGTTTGAGGTACTTTCTCTCAGCGGAAAGTACCTGGGGGCTGTGCGGTCCTCCATAAAGGACCGTGCGGCCCTCGAAAATTTTGCATATTCTCGTGGAAAGTCCGCGAGAATGCGGCCACTGCTCCGCAGCTAATCTGCAAGGAAACCGCAATTGTTCTTCAAGCATTCGTTTAAAATTTCGCTAAAATTCTTCCAAACATCTGCAAGCGGACCGCAAGAAATCAGCGGACTATCTTTCCGGTGCCCGCTTGCCCAAAAATGGCATGGCCGCCTGCCCCCGGCGATTATCTGAGTGGCTGCTCAGATAACCGCCGGGGGCAGGCGGCCATGCGAATTTTGAGCAAGCGCGCACCGGAAAAATAGTTCGTTGATTTTTTGCGGCCCGCTTGCAGAAATTTGGAAGAAAGTTGGCAAAATTAAAGACGAATGCTTGAAGAACAATCGCGGTTTCTTTATGGATTAGCTGCGGCACAGTGGCCGCATTCTCGCGGACTTTCCGCGAGAATATGCAAAAATTTCGGGGGCCGCACGGTCCTTTGTGGAGGATCGCGCAACACCCCAGGTACTTTCCGCTGAGAGAAAGTACCTCAAACTTGAGTAATTAAACCAACGGTGACACCTCTGCCACACAGAGTCTTACCTGCGCTCGACGTACGCCCGAAAATACCTAAAAAGAGTCCGAGCGCTTGCTGAAAGTTTGGCCAGCGCTCGCTGGAAGATATTATTTGACGAGCGCTCGCAGAAAATTCTGTATTGCTGCCCGCTGGCAGAACGCGGAAGTACCGCCCGCTGAAGGTTTGGCCACGCCCCAAAATTCTGCTGACCGCCTGCAGAAAAGCGCGGGTTTGCGGGCCGCCTGCCCCCGGCGATTATCTGAGTGGTTGCTTCGGTCGTTTTCCAAATAATTCATGTTATTGCACATTCGTAGTTAATAAGTTCACATAACTGACAAATATGGCTTCGCAAAAAGTTCCTAGTGCATAATTCCAAAGCCGTCCTGCCTCGTCACCAATTTTTTTCATCAATGCTCCGCAAACTTTTTGTGGTGGTCTCGTAAAAGATAAAAGCAAGAACAAAAACGTAAAGCAGAGCAGAATCACGTTATTTTAGTACTGAATATTACGTTTATTGCTGCCTGTCACTACAATGGCTCACAGAGAGCGATCACGTCTCCGATCTCAATACTCCAGGGGAATAAACGAAACGTCTAGACGAGTCCCGTGATAAGCAGGAGCTCAAAGTACTGCCACTGTTCCTTTCTCGTACCACTTGGTGGAACACTACACACCTTGGGATACGATCAAAAAAATACAAATAATTTCAGATACAGAGTTAAGTAGATTTATAGGCCAGTATAGTGCCATTGCGGTGCAGATATCTGCGCGTAGAAAAGGAGTAGAAGGCAAATCTCAGTTTTTGCACTCAACGGACGTCCTTTTTGCTCAGGTATTGTCGGGACCGTAGTGACACCATATTGATCCTTGAGGCACGGCAGTTCTAAGATTGTGCATAGAGGGACTTTTGGGATAGGCCCACTTCCTCAGTTGGAGAAAAAAAAACTCTCCCTCTTCCTCCCGGCTCACTTTCGACCACGGAAAAATTATGACCGCCAATGGTCTCCAGCGATCTGACTAGTGGGCATGATTTTGGGTTTTCGTTTATCCCACTCCTCAAATATTCTCTTTGTATAAGGGGAGGGGGAATAATTTTGTAATTTTTGGAAGTCTGACTCGAATACACTTTGTTTTATCGATTTGAAAGTAAATTGCATCTAGAGTACGACAAAATCAGTCAAATCAACTGTATTTCACCCTTTGGTTCAACTGGGTGGCGGCTGAAAGGCGGGGCTTTGTGACCTAATTGAGACTAGAGAATGATCATAGAGCACGTTTGCGAGAGAGGCGCAGATTGTGTCACGGGTGTGAGCGGTCGCCTTGCAGCCGCCATTCTCGTTGAATCAAAGGACACTTTCAAATCAATACATGCGGATCTAATTTCTTTCCTTCAATTTTTATAACTACAAGGAACCGATCAGGAAGCTTAGTGCGACGTAAAAGTAAATATTGCGATAACATCAATGGCATATCAAATTAAAAAAGCGATAAGCGATTAAAGAACGCTCCGGGAAATTGGACGTTATGGTCTAATGATTCACATCGAAGCTTCTCGTATTAATCAGAAAAAAAAAGAAAGGCTACTTTGCTACTTTTAGGAATTCTGCGTTCTTTGGACTTCAGTTCTTATTACTGGAACAAGACCCTGATAATTAGGAAAAGTAAGCG